GCGTGCATTGTTTCGTCCCACCTATGCATGATGCAATTGGAGACGGCTGCAGCCGATCGGCGTATGCAGCCAAGAGAAAGAAGAGGCAACATGATAGCTCGGGGTGGGCAGGCGCGCTGCTGCACTGGCAACTGTTATGACCCAGGTCAATTTGCTTCCCAGGCGCGGTGTCGAACGAGGGCACGTCCTCTGTCGGCAGCAAGCGGGTGCGTTGGGCTTTGCAGCAGCAGCACTTGTGGAGGCTCAACCACTGCTGCTGACACCGGCACAGCCACCAAGGTGAAGCTTCAGGAAGCTGTTACCGTGCCCCGGCGCCGAATCGCGAAACCAGTGTACAGGGGCAAAAGGACAACCCGAGAATCCCCCGATCTGTTGGCGCAGTTTAGGGTTTAGCTGCGGGCAAGATCCGGCAGCGCTGCACTGCAAGGTCCCATGCTCTTGGAGAAGGGTTTCTCATCGAAACCAAGCTGCGTGCTGCGAGAACTTAGCATCCCAGATGCACTGCGCCCGGAATCCTGGAGACGACTCCGCCCCTTCAGATCTCCATGCTAAGCTCGCTCTAAAAAGAGCTTACAGGGTTTAGCGTAAGGCAGGTCCTTTGAAACGGTCTACACCGAATACTCCGCTCAGGCTCTGCAACTGCAACCTGCACCTCCGCAAAGCACTCAACACGGGAGAAGACTTCCAACGCCCGTGCTCGGCTGACTCCCATTCGTACGAAGGCTGCAGTTGGCGAGTGCCAGTGTGCGGGCGGATGGTCTGCGGAGTGACGACGCCCTCACATGCGCCAGCCAAAAAACAGTTTGACCCCGCACCACAGCTCTGGCAGGACGAGCTGCTTGATGTCTAGCACGATGTCCACACATAGAATGGGGTCTGCCTCCGAGCGTTCGTCGCGTGCATGCGCCGTTGTTCCAGCCGATTCACTGCTACATATGCTCTGAAGAGCACCACAGTCACTACAGCACACCAGCACACTGGATCGCGGCCACTTCAAGAGAAGTTCCCACGTGTATCGCAGAATCTGACACGAAGAAATTCAAGAACCGCCTTCAACAAGCGTGAACCCTCCAAACAATAAGCAGCCAGACGCTGGGCGAGACAAAGTGAAGAAGCTCAGATTTTTCGCGACTGTGGCATCTTTCCTAAAAGTGTGTTCAGACTGGCCCGTTCGACCTGTAAATCGGGGGTGGAGCGCCCGGGTGGCTGGCGGAATTCACTTTACACCGAGACGGGATGGACGCAGCGGCATCGAGCTAGTTTAGTCGGAAGAAAACCTCCGAAAAAGGCGGCCGCTTTCATTTCGGGCCTCGAGGCTTTGTGAAGGTTTAGCGCGATGCATGAGGCTGCAAGTCTCGATCAGGGCTGCGGTCGGTTGCAGGCGATGGCGTCCGAGAGAGGCGCCGCCATGAGGCTTTGATGTCACGCCAGCCGCTTCTGCCCTATCTTTCCAAGCGAGCTCCTCTTGAATCGGAGAATTTTGCCGGTGCACTGAGCAACTCAAGCAACACTTAAATTGGAGAAGACTCGCCCTCGACCGCCAGCTGTGCCTGGCGCATCGCCAGTCCGCGGGCTTTCAAAGCATGATACAGCACGTCATGCAACTGTGCAGCAATACTTCCTTGGCAGATCCAATGTGACAGGAGCTGCCAATAATTTAATAATGAAGACATGCTCAGGCTCGCATTGCTCTCTAAATGTCGCATACACTTCCTGCAAGCTAAAAGAGACTAACGCTCCCACGCCTGTGGCTCCCTTTCAACGCCGCAGAGCATGGCGGTAGCGCGGATGCCGCGGGCCTCGCGGACGCGGACCGGAGCGTGGCCGCCATCTCGCCTCCGCCGGCGGGTTTTGTGGATGTCCGGCTCCCAAGGCTCGGCTCCCTTCGTTACACCCCTGCGGTAGCGGTGCGCTTCTCTTCACTCCCGTCCCGCCCGGCGAAAATCATCTCGAAGTCCTCCCTCGACCTGGATGCAAAGGAGCCCGGGCACGTTCGGGCACGTTCGGGCACGTGGGGTCTCGCAGACTTATACGACAACTGAGGCTGCGGCTGCCGCCGATGATGCATGTCGCGCTGGCTTTTTGGGCGTCACCCTCGCCTCTCGGCGCTTCACCCGGCCCAAGGCCCTGGAGAACCTCCGCGGCATTGACTCAACCGACAGCCTTCCAGTTCGCAAGGCATGAGCGGAACAGAGCCTTGCTGGAGTGTTCTGCGACAAGACCTTGAGTACCAGCCTGCCAGGCAAACTCTGCTCATGCCTGCAACATGCCGGTGCGACTGCCACGTGCGGGCCACATGCAGCACTGTTGCCCCTGCAGACTCGCCCTTGGCCTCATCAGCCCCCCTCGCCGCGGCAAGAAAGCCCGTCACCAGATGCGACGAGCCAGCGAAATCCGCATCGTTCCTCAAAGTCACTTCTTCAGTGGCATGACAGGGGCATTACTGGCACCACCATGTTGGGTGTCGCTTCTTCAGCTGCTGTTCTGGTGAGATTGGTGGCAGCGCCCTTCCTACGAGTTTGATGGTGAAGTATCGGAAGAGGCCATTCTGCCAAAACAGCAAGAGCTGCCTCAGGTCGAGCGCAATATCCAGATGCAACGCAATTCTACGCCGAAATTTCTCACTGCAAAGTGTTCGGCACACGTGTGGGTGTGGTATCAACATCTGACGAATCTAATCTCCAATCTCTCCAAAACACATACACCAGATCTCACTTCACTCTACAAAGCGGGCAAGACGAAGGCTAAGGAGGGCACCAATGTCTGCGAGACAAGATCAACCATTCTGGGCTGCTCGGTCAGGCTTCTCACGGCGTCGAAGGTGCATGCCCAGCTCCGTGCGTGTCCACACTTCCCTGCATGATCTGTAGCCCCACGACCTGCCAGGAGCGGCAGGAAGTCGCAGCTCAGAGGACTGGTACGGGCCTCGGGGAGCGTGGAGACGTCCACATCCAGTACAGCCGGCCAATAATCTCCGCCGATGTCGACGGAAGATATTGGCCGCTGACATGCGGAAGAACGTGTGAGCATCACGACAGGCCGCGGCTTTAGCGAGCTCCGGACAATACCTGAATCCCAGCACAGACATCATGGCTGCGGACAGTAGTGTCAGTAGTGTCAAATGTCGTGCCCTCCTGGAGGCCACCGGCGGGTTCCAGCCTTCTGTGCACTTATTTGATCCGCAGTCGCCGCTAGCCGCTGGGCTTGAGGAGCGCCAACGAGGAACATGGAGGGTCAGGGTGCCTGCATCGATCCAGCTCGAAGCGGAGCTGCAGGCGTCTCTGGTAGTTCCATCTCTCGCAATTCCAGTTCGTAGACGGTGGGGCTGGTTCACAGGCGAGGACACCGCGACAGCTGAGACCACTCAGCGCGTCGGCCTGGCAGCTGCTGCCTTCTGTGACGAGCTTCAGCTGCCGCTTCTCAGTCTCAAACGCATCCCAAGAGACCACAATCCATCTGCGCACCCCAAAAATGAATCACCATGAGATTTTCCAGACAAGAACAATCCAGGAACACCGGAAGCTCGCCTGCGCGAGCTTCGGCCACTTCGCCTGGTCCACGAGCTGCTGCCACGCCGCCGGGATTCGCCAATGCTGAGCTCCCCCGGCAGTGGTTGCTCCGCCGGTTCTGGGAAGGGCAGCTTGCCGGTACAAGGTAGGGACAAAGCAAACAGCAATGATGCAATGATGGCAGCAGAACAGCAAACTACATCTGAAGACATGGGCTCGTGTCGGAAAGACTCGAGCTCTGGGGAATGAGTCAGAAAAAGCGGATGTCCTTCCTGCTTCACTTCATGCTTGATCTCAGCCTTTGCCTTCCAAGTATAAACTCTGCGCGAGGCATCAGAATTCAGAATGCACACAAGCGGAGTTGCAGCCGACAGCTGCGACATCGGCATTCCGAAGACACACACAGCAGCACTCCGAACTTCAGCACGAGATGTGCAGACTTCTGGGGCATCCGAACTGCATGTCCAGCCTCTTGAAGGCCTCCGCCCCACACGCCCCGCTTTGCACGCATCTTCTGCGAGCAAAGCGCGGAGCTGGAACTGTGCGGGAGACGGAAGAAGAGCAGAGCAGAGCAGACGATCTCAGACCTGAAGCCTTGAAAACTTGACACAGAGACGCTCACGGACTGATATATAGATTGATTGAGACTCTGAGAAGAACCTGTAGTTTGCACCTCAGCACTTGCAGCAAGGGGCTTTGGAGGAGTACGTCTGCGAGCCTGCGCGCTGATTCCAGTACCAGCTGGAAGTGAATGGTGGCCCAGCTCTGAAACCTCAGCTCTATTCGAGGTCCATCACCTACTGACTCTGGCAAATTTTGTCGAGAAGCTTCTCTTGGGGAACATTGCAAACCCCAAAAACATCGAATCTGGCATCCACTTCACATGGACGGCATATATATATATATACATATATATATATCAACAGGTTTGGAAAAGCCCTGCATAAGACGCTAAGACGATATAGCACAGCAGCCCTGCAGTCGGTCACGGCGCCGTTGCAGGTAGGAGGATTGCCGGGTTTTCCGGTGACGGTTCCGGCACATGCCACCCGCCTTTTCCAAGCAGCATACCTGAAGCGTAAGACCTCGCATTGCGTGGTATTTTTGGATTTACAGGAAGCGTTTTATCGCATTGTCAGACCGATCCTGACAGGAGAGGTCCTGACTGATCTTGCGATTGCGCGGGCATGCGCCGCTGTTCACTTGCCGCCGGGAGTTTATCACGAGCTCCAGCAACACCTGTGTCAACCCTCTATCATTGCCCAGTCTGGGGCTAGCGATTGGGCCACCGGAGCCATCGCTGAATCCCTTCATTCCACTTGGTTCAAATTTACCAACACCGAAGAGATTATCGAAACTGCCATAGGATCTCGCCCGGGAGATTCGTTGTCAGACCTGGTTTTCTCCTTTCTCTTTGCGAAGATTTTAGAGCGAGTCCGCACCCAGCTTAGAGCTCAGGGACATACCACTTCGGTACCTTGGGAGCCAAGTATGCTCCGCCGCATCCGTCCACTTGCTGAGCGCCCCAACCTGAGCCTGGAGCTTCTGGACGCGACTTGGATGGACGACCTCTCTCTGCTCCTCACAGCCCCCAATGCCCAGGCACTTGAGACCAGGGCCAGAGAGGGCGCCAGCTGCCTCATAGATGCGTGCTTGTCGCATGCGCTCTTGCCAAACCTCAGCCGAGGGAAGACCGAGGCATTGCTGTCTTTCCGTGCCGCGGGTACGAAGGAAATCAAGCATCGCGTCTATCATGAGCAGCAGGGGGCACTGACTTTGAATTGTGCATTGTGGCCCGATGCCACCCTCCGAGCCACACCCGCTTACAAACATCTTGGCGGCATTTTACATCACGGAGGCAAGCTTGAACGGGAGGTCCGCTTCAGGACCGCCCAGGCTTGGTCCTCGTTTAATTCGAGGAAGCGCCATGTGTTTGCTTCACCTCTAGTTCCGTGGGAGCAGAAGATGGTCCTCTTTGACACTTTGGTTGCGACAGTTTTGTTTTACGGTTCCGGCACTTGGACGAATGTTTCGGAGAGGTGCGTAGGCATGTTAGAGAATACCCTACGGGGCATGGCTTGCCAAATGCTAAGGCCGCACTATTCGTGTTCTGAAGCCTGGCATCTCGGAACGGAGCGAGTCCATTCCCTGCTCGGCATGCCAATGGCCTCCTCATATCTGCATATACATAGACTCCGTTATCTCCTTGCCTGTATCAGACTAGCGACGCCGGAAATCTGGGCACTGGCGCACTTTGAGCAGGACTGGCTGCAGTATGTGCGCGACTCCATTCAGTGGCTCTGGACGCTCGTTGATGGTGGCCAGCAACACAGCACCCACGACGAGGCCTGGGAACATTGGAGCGCCGAAGCTCTTACCAGTCCGGGCAAGTGGAAGGGACGCATCCGGCGCGCCCAACGTCAGATAGTGCTTCGTGAAAGATGTCGCTCCAATGCCATATATCATGCAGGACTCCTTCTTCGTCAGTTGCGCGCACTCGGCGCGTCGAGCCCGCCTGATCTCCTATCAGGAGGGGCAACACAGGAATGCTGCGGGGTCTGTAGGGCCCGATTCGGTGATGTCAGGGCGTGGTCCGTCCATGCATTTAAAAGACATGGTCGAGTCGATGAGACTCGGACACTCATCAGTGGTACTCAATGCCCTGTCTGCTTACGGCATTTCACCTCAAATGCCAAGGCCTGCAGACATGTTCGGTACACGAGGACGTGTCGGTATCAGCTCTTGTCCGGCGGAGCCCGCTATGCCCCTGCCCCAGGTCAGGGTAACCGTAAGGCCACAGATGATGGACTATGTCTGGAGCCAGTCACGCAGGCTGAGGGGCCTCTCGCCCTAAGTTGGGACTGTTACATCGAGGATGAGGCACAGAGGCCCTCTGCTGAGGTCCTTTCCTGTCTCGGACATATCGACTTCGACGTCCCCATCACACAGCTCCCAACCGAGGAACTCTGGTCACGCCTCCGGACCTCCTTTTCTTGCGTATGTCTCCAGGGCACCAGGTTTAGAGCAACGGCCGAGGCATGGCATGCCCAGATTATCCTTCGCAGTCGTGCGGACCCGGACCATGACTATGAGTCGGTCCTAGAGGCTGGCAAGTGGCTATGCCAGGCAGACTATGCGGATTGGTTAGTCCCCACGGACAGTGGCAAACGAGCCCCCGCTGATACCTTTCGACAGGGCCACCTTCTCCTTCAGCTCCTTGAATTTGGGAGCTTCCGATTTACCACGCCAAGGCCTTGGGACAGGGACATGATTCTGATTCAGATTGGGGATTCTGTCCCAGGACTCACCGATCAGGTCCCCACCCAAGGTATACTCACGTATACACATCAGAACCTCTTACAGGATGTTGCTGCGGGCCGGTCTGTTGATCTCCTTCAGGATGTTGATCCGGACTCTGCCTATTGTATCTCCACCATAGGGCCATAGGGCTGCCGAATATCGGTGACCCCGAGTGCTTTCTCGACACTCCAGCTTCGTGCACCCTCGCCGATGGCACTTGCCTCGCGGGTGACCTTCTCCGCTTTGCTGTCCATCTATGGGGTCGAGGCATCTTGACTTGCCTTCTCCTCTCCAACGGTGGCGGCCATGACCCTACGACCCTCCTTTCCAGGCTCCCAGGATTGCATCATGTCCTCCGAAGTGACCATTGTGTTTTCTGGAACGGCCAGGCTCAGGATTTGTCAAGGGTCTTTCACTCTAATTAAGTTTCACTTTGCAGGCCAACGGGCTGCGTCGAACCGACACTTTGCCCCAAACACGAGAAACACGAGATATATCAACAGTGCTGCATTTCCCACGCCATGGACCGTATATTGTCATAGAACCTTGGCCGGGGATGCACCACACAACTGCACACATCCTTAAATCGCTGGGTCACGCATGATTGCACTGCTTCTCCCAAGCCTGCTGTCGCCAGCGTGAGGGACGTCCCTGCAAAGGATTCTGATAGCTGTTCACAGAGCGTTGCGGAAACAGCTCGCTGTAAGATGGTCCCATGGTCCATAAGAGGCCTCTGACATGTCAGAGGCCACAGCGACGAGAACCACCTTCAGAGAAGTGAAGTGAGCGGAGTTAGCCGCAGCGCGCCGCTCAACCCCAGGAGGCGAAGTGTTGAAGGTGTGCCGCGGTGCGTCCGCAGCTCCTCAGCCGCTCTGTCGCTGTTGGCTTCTACGAACGGTGCAGCGCGGCGGTCCGTCCGCGCCTCCAAGTCCTCGTCACGCACCCTGCTCAAGCGAAATCCTTATCTACGGACACGTGGACAAGGCCTGAGACGGGCGGGCGCACCAGCACCTTCTGCATAAGGACGATTATACAACTTGCCAGCTCTTCTGTTGACCTTCCCCCGCACCTCCTGCAAGCAAGATGCATGGCTTCGAATTCCAGGCGGATTCTGCACCACGAAGCCTTTCATCGAACCAAAAAACCCTGGTCCAGCCGCCGCTGCACCGGAGGGCGCCGCAGCCGAAAAGTGTGCGGACTGCTCTGTGATATCACACCACGAAGTTGACCGGGTGCGACAGACCAGCGCTTCCACACATCTCAGTTTCAGCATTGGGGCAAATCTTCCAGCCGTCTGAACACCAGTGCCAGAAAATGGCGCCGACCTGAGACAAGCATGCCAAATATAGCCACGGGTAGCCCGTATCCACCCCATCCTTGGCATGATCCCATGCAAGAGTCCAAGAGCTTCGTGGATCAGGCAGCATCTGCAAGCAGAGCCTTGAACTGCAGCGTGCATTGCTTATGCCCACCTATGCCACTTATGCATGATGCAATTGACAACGGCTACAGCCGATCGGCGGATGCGGCCAAGAGAAAGAAGAGGTAACATGATAGCTCGGGGTGGGCAGGCGCGCTGCTGACTCCGTCTCTTCAGATCTCCCTGCTTCGTTCGGAAGGCTCAGGCTCCGCAGCTGCAATCTGCACATCATCACCAGCGACAGGGGCAGGAGGAGGCGAGACAGGCAAAGCCTGGCCAGGCACGGGAGTCTCCGGCAATGTAATCGGATCCGGATGCCGCACACCTGGGAGATCGGCGATAGAGCCCGTCTCTTGCTTGACGGTTACCTTCTTGACTTCAGTCTTCGGGGCGACCGGGCCAGCCGAGTCTTCCATCTCATCATCATCATCGTCGAATCCGAGCTGGCTGAGGTTGACCGTCTGTGCAGTCCCGTGGTCGGCGCCGCGATCCAGGTTCTCAATCAAACCTTGGACTGAAGAATGAACAATAGCTTTCACCTCACCCTTCTGCTTGGTTTCTGGAACGACAGTGCGCTCCCACATTTTATCGGTAGCGGTCTCGAAATCCCGTCGGGTATCGTACGGTGGGAACCGCGCAAGAGAGGCGAGCGTGAACATCGAGCAAATCTTGGTGCATAGAGTCCCTATGGTCTTGGACTCATGCATAATGTGATATCCCTTCAGGTACGGAAGCCCCTCCAGGATGGCATCGAACGACAGGGTTAGGAAGTTCGATCGTCGGATCGTGTCCCATATCGTTTTCATCTCCAATCGATACCTCTCAAAGAGCGTATCAGGGAGTGTTGGGACATGTGCCATACTCGGTGACACCGGCCCACACAGGGAAACTGATCCGTATATCGTGTTGTATTCCTCGAGAGCATCCCGTGCGGTCCCTCTGGCGTACTGCGCTCTCGACGCGTCAATATCGCCCATGATTTTGCTCCAACCCTGGTCCAGCTTCCACAGGTCCGCTCCTCTCCACAAGAGGAGGATGTGCACATTAGCCGCCCTTTGGGATGTTGGTTTCGCTCTTCATCAATTCGATGGTCTCGATCATCTCTTTGAGCACGAACCCACCATCTCCATCGACCGCCTGCACACGCACCTCGGGGTCCGGGAATCCGAATGTCACCAGTGCGTTCGTCAAGTGATCCCTCATCTCCCCGTCGTGCCATCCGGCCTTGGACCTGAACGTCAACAGGCCATCATGCACGACAACGAACCTTTGCTTCTCGTTGGGGACCGCCGGCTTTATCGTTGGCGGAGCACCTCCGTAAGCGATCGTCGAGGGCATTGTCGTTACGGCTCGGATGCCGTGGATAGCCGTGGCCACGAGGGCATCAGCCGGGCTCCACACAGGCTTGGCAATATATGAGATCCGTGGTACCATCTTCATCGTACATGATACCCGATGCACTCTTAGCCGGCGTGTAGCCAAAGTTGCCCAGCACGGTGCTAAAGGCTTGTCGGTAGTGCTGGCACCAGATTTCCCATTCTTTCGATGGGCCACCTGCAATGGTGATAAGCTTCGATGGCTTGGGAAGTCCCTGACTTCCATGCTCTCCCATAGTAGGAGCGCGCAACTGAAAGAACGGGGCAAGCTCAATTCGGTAGCTTGAGGCTTGAAGCTCGGATTGCAAGCCATACCGGCCACTGACAGTAGCCGATTCGCTGTTCCCGTATACATCAGGCATCCATCGATTCCGACACATCACAGATGGGTGAACGGTGACGCGCTCGGTCGGGTCCTCACCAGCGGATGCGGCTTGGTCCGCGGCTCCAGCGTTTTCGGGCTGTTTCGTATCAGCAGCCTCCGCCGGTGTATCGGTTCTGCCGCTTCGGATCGTGAGGTCCGCAAATTCAACGGAACTTGATCCGAGGACACCTCCCAACAGCTTCAGGATGCGAGGGTCAATCGGACTCGCTTCCATCCACAGGTGCCACGGCATCGCAACTGTCCCGTCTTTGCTGAGAAATCGGTGTCCATGGATAACGTACTGTGGGGACGTGGAAATCCCGTGTTCACGATCATCCATAATTCGGAAGGGTCGGAAAGCGATCCCGCACAACTCGAGGAACTTCGTTCCGACAGGGATCTGCTTTCCCGATCCTCCCAACTTCTTCGTGGTCCTACTGTGGCTATTCACCAAAGTCTTGGACACACAGATCATGACCTGGAACCAGTAGCCTCCACCGATATACGTGCCAGAGGCATAGCTGCTGGCAGCTTCGGAGGCGCTCCCAGTGACCCAGACACATGGCTCATGACTCCCATGATCATCAGTCACGTAGTCCTCGCCGAACAAACCTCCGTGCGCGAGAATCGACCAGAGGTACCGGAGGTTCGTCCCATGGAGGTACGTATCCCTGGGATCATAAATGTCCGATGTCATCGATGGGACATATGTCCAACCGTCGGTTGGGTTAATGGTCGGCTTACCGGCGCCATCTTCGTAGATCATACTGGAGCTGGAGGCCCAGTTGAGCGTATCATCAATGCTCACACATCGCGAGGGGTAAGTATCGATCAGGGCCTTCATATAGGAGACCCATCCTCGCATCAACGGGGTGTTTTCATCGTCACCCTCGTTGCGGAAAGCAGACACTTCGCCGATCCCATTTGCATCCACGGCAGGAAGATCATCGCCGTGTTCCTTTCGATCATCATCAAGATGCTTCGCCTGCTCTTTCAGAGAGTCAAGCGTGGGAAATCGGTTAAGCGCCTTGATCGCCAAGAATGCTCCCGGGAGAAAGGTCAACGTGGGTCGGAGCTGCAAGAAGCCCTTGAAGATCTTCGCGGCCTCAGCTTGGTTGACCGTGTCCCTGGATCGCAGTAGAGGCGGCAACTGAAGGAAATCATTGTGGCTGATGCTCGTATCGGTCCTCAGCCACCTTTGCTCAGCATTACTGCTGCTATACCCGATAAGGCCTCGGTTCCAACTCGCGAGAGGCGACGGGATGTAGCTATCACCCATAAGACGGAGCGTATCGTAGCTCAACGCCTCTCGGGTTCCCTTCAAGCTATTTGCTTGAAAGTGCATGCAGTGACGCACCAGAGACATCACAAGGCCCATCTTCTCGGGGGCACCTGCGGCATCACCTGATAGCGTCGCTACTCGGGAGAACGCCAGGGCGGACATGACCTGGTATCGGTCACACAGGTCCATGAACTCGGAAGGGACCTGTTTTCTTTGCTGGTCCGCAAGCGGATGAGTGCTATAGAGGAACGAATCGATCAGCCTCTGGAGCTTCTGTTCCCAGCCAGGGTTACAGGTCAACTGATCGAGTCGCTGCCAGATAGTGGCTTCTGGGATCTCTTGGACACCCAGCCTCAGCATCATCGTTTTCATCTTGACCTCTATCGGGTCTTCATTGGCTCCCTTTGCACCACCGGTAGACTCATCCCTCGGAGTCTGGATCGGAACCGTGGCATCGAAAGTGCCCATCTCGGAATCACCCTGCTCCGTGGGAATCGGAGGAGCAGGGGGCCTACCCGTGGGTGGCGCAATCGGACCACTCGGAAGGCCTTCCCTACAGTGCGTAGGGGTCTTCGGCTGAGGAGATCGGGCAGCCGATGGCTTAGCAGCAGCCTTCTTCGGTGGCTGTGGCTGCTTGTTCTTACCCGGCATCGTCGCCGGCAGCAGCAGCACAAAGGAGTTCGCGGCCCGTGGCAGCTACGACCTGTCCTAGCAGGGAGCGCAAATGGGCTAGTGTTGAAGTCGTAGTAGAGGTGGTCTGTAATGATCTGTCAGTCTCGGTGATCTTTGATCATCGTTCTTAAAGCTCCTTATGTCAGTCGTTGTGCATTGTGAAAGTGCAGTGTGAGTGTGTGCGTGTGTCCACCCCTGTTTCTAAGGGTTTCGCACGGTCGCTGAGTAACCTAGCGACTGGTTCTGGAGAAAATTTCCGAAGGGGTCTCCACTGACGAGGCCTAACCCCTTCGGGAAGGGCCGAAAACCCAAAAGTGCAAAACATGCTGCACCTGGGTCGCGTGGCGGCAGCTGGTGGGCACATGATTGCTTGACATTTCATCGTATTGCTTCGCGTCACTTGTTGCTTGCATCAGCCCAACTGTCCAAAAAGACAAACCCTTAATCGCAACTTGGTCATATTTCAGTGCCTACTGGCTCCGTGCTCTCTATGAGCACAGTGATAGGAATCGGTCGATGTTCATTCGGTTGAGCTCTGACCTGATTCTGTTATCAAGTGTGATCGGGCTGTTTTTCTGACAAAGCGACAGCCCTGATCCTGGTCTGCATCCTTCGGATGTATGGCTAGGCGACCCGTCGATTCTTGAAGTTCATTCCGTGATGACTTGGTCGAAGCCAATGAATCTCACACCATGACAGTTCTGAACAATCATCGGCTTACAGTGTTCTTCTGCATGATCTTTTGTTCAGGCTTGGACAAATATGGACGATAATGAGATCGCTGATTTTCGTAAGACACTAACTGATTTGTGTATGTCTGAAATCGTTTGCTTCGTCCATGTCATGTCTAGCGCACAGTGTCGATGCTGGAAAGACGGTCAGATTCCATTTGTGAGTTTATGCCTCAAACTCTGCTTCACGGCTGCAGTCAGTACTCCTTTCACGTAGGCTGTTTGGTTGTTTGGTTTGGGGTGTGTCTGTGCTCTCTCAGGCGTGTGTGTCGGTGTCACGGTGTCGGGTTGCTGTTGTCATAGTGCAGTTAACCCCCCAGCCACGGCCATGGCAGCAGAACTTACGCAGTTCAGAGCACGCGCTACATCGACCGCAACCAGCAGTCACGAAGATCGACCCCGTCACCGAAGCAGATCTCCAGTTCCTCGAAGAGTACGCCCACCATTGGCAAGGAAATCGCAGCTTACAACTATTGTTGTCACTGGTGCTAGACCCAAAGCAAAACCTCGACCAACGAACATTCAACACCACCGAGCGCATGAGCATCGTCTTTTCGCACCAGGAGTTGCGGACGGTATGAGCAGACAATATTGGCGCTCGTTACTACAACAAGCCCTGGCTCTTATTTCATGCGAGTCCTTTAACCAAACAGACGCCCGAATGATGGAGATCCTTGGCCGAGTCCTTTTGGTAAGTGGCGCTGATGTTGATTGTCTAACTGGGTTTACTACTTCATGGAGGTCTCGTTGAACGCATGCAGAGTGCACCGGAAACAGTTTTGATTTCACCCCTTCCGCAGTATTTAACAGCACTGTTATGTACTTTGCGGCTTCTTCATGAAAAGGCTTGATCCAAGCAAGTGTGCTGCGTCCATGCTGCATGTCTTACATGTCCATTCCTTAAGAGCTGGCGCTGTCCGCTTGCAATACAGTGTCCGCTCGCTTACGGTGTCTTAAAACCCTCAAGGTTTTTGCTCAGGCCGGTTCGTAGTGTAGACTGTTAGCGGGCTTCGCGAGTTATCATGTCAAACCCGTGGTGGGGATCGACACGGCAGTGGGACAGTTGGCAGACTCAAGACGACGATGACGACTGGGGCAAATGGAAGAATCAACCCTCTAGGCTACCCTTGTTGACCCACCCACCTCCCGACAATTCAGCTCCGAAGCATCACCAGACGGAACAGCTGAAAACTCCATCGTCTTGGAGCCCCAGTGCCACGCATTTTGACACGTCGTTGGTAGGACATCTACCTTTGCCACGAACTATAGAAGCAACTTCGTGGAGTCGCTCTCGCGGATTAGCAGGCATGCCAATCTTTGATCTCCGAGTCCATCAACTGGCTTATCGCGGAGTACAAGAATGGAATTTGCGCAACATCGCAGCGGGGCGATTCACAGGGCTGGTGTTCACTAGGTCGATTCCAGAAACCATATTTTTGGCTAAGTTGAGTCATGGACTACGTGACAACGGGGTTGATCTCGACAAGGTCTCGCACGTCGTTTGGACTCAGAACAACCAACAGCCCCCAAAGAAACAAGACGACCCAGGCGCATACGTAGCTCCCTTGGTGCAGCGAATTGTGGACATGTTGAAGCCCCTCATGCCTGTGGAACAAGACCTTTATGCGCTACATCAAATGCAAGCTCTACAATCGGACAATGAGAAGTACCGTAAGAAACTTGCAGAGAGCGGAATCCCGGTCACCCCAATAAAACGCAAGGCGGAGCACCCCGTGAACGACACCCACACCCAGAAGAAGATGAGGTTTGAGGAGCTCCCGGTTACCTATGACGATCTCCAACAAGCAGCCTCCGTGGTCCCTCGCGTGTCGCAAATCCAAGCAGTCAGTGCTAAGGTGGTCAAAGAGTTTCAGCAGAATGCCGAGTTGCAGCTCCATGACGGTGTCCTTTCCATGAAGCTGAAAGAGTACATCACTAAGGTGTTCAACAGCATCGGAGGTGTTGACAAGAAAACCAAGAAAGTGATCGATCAGCAGTACGATGGGGTTTGCCAACCCAGATTGCCATGAAAGCTCAGTGCAAGATACTCGCTCACATCATCGCGGTGGCCGCCTTCATGAAGCACGCGGGTTTGTGATACCAGATAACTACGCTGCGCCTGACAGAAAACATGTTAAAGCATACACTTTAGCGTGCACCGATGCAGTTGTGTCCCGCTGGCATGTTGTAGTTCGCATGTCCACACGTGCTTGATGCTTAGTTGCGTTGATGCCGCTTGCACTTGGTTTGTGCTAGCGCTATTCCTGCAGAAAACCTATTGATACAGCTGGCACAGCACTCAGCTTCTCAACCAAGTTCAACCGTGTTGCGTTTGAACTTGCTTGCATGGTTTTTTGGTGTTGGTCTCAATCGGTTTCAATGTCGTTTCATGTTGAAACTTCGGTGGTAGATCACGTCATACTGCTATGGAAAAGCTATTGGACTCTTTGGCTCGGTTCGGCTGGCATCCACGCTTACGTGACGGTATTCATCACAACCTGAACCATGCGAAGCAAAGTGCCCGAGCCAGTACCAGGTACGACTTCGAAGGGTTTTTGCAAAGTTTCACTTTGTCGCTGGAGATTTACAGCAACTGGGTCACCCAACTGATCGTAGCTAGTCCATGGCTTTACCAAGAGATGAAAATGCCGGAATGCATGTTGGAAGTGCACAGCATCATGAGCTTCACAGCGATGACATATGCATTCGCTGCCTTGCTGGTGCAGCAAAGCTTCTCCGCGTACGAGGGCCTCACCTACAGAGAGTTCACGCAGCGCAGGTTCCGCATGCGCATTCTGGTCGCGACATTGCAATTCATCATCGCGTATGTCCCCGGCGTGGATAAACATGTTATGATGTGGGCTACTTCATTTGCTTGGTTGGTGTTGTGCACAAGATCCAGCACACTTGATCGTTATAGCTTGTCACTGAAGATGAGGGTCAGATCACTGGGATTGCATCCCTCGATGTACTCCTATGACTTCTTCAGCTCGTCCAACATAGTCTACATGAAAGTACCGTTTCAGTTTGATGTCGCATGGGTTTTTGACACCAAGAGGTTAACATGCAGCACCCCAAACCGAAGGAATTGGAAGCGCTACTGGTACATAGGTTCTTCCTCTTTGACTGCCACGGCGCGAGATTGCAACCGTGCAACAAAGCTTAGGCAGGTCTCGTCAAAGAAACTTGTCAAAACTGAGCTAGCCGTACAGTGGTGGAGTGAGAAAGACAATTTTTTGGACTATGCCACAGTCGTTCTGGGAGCCTATCCGAGCTACAAACTAGCATGGGCTATGGAACACAAATTAATCCAGACATGGCAGCCGACATTGAACTGGCCCAACATCGGCAAAGTCTTGAAACCTACAGCGTTTGGGTTGAGAAGAGCATCCAGGCGCATTCCGGGGTTGGCACAGGGAGCGGGCAACAGGCTGTGGGCTAAACTACGGAGAAGGCACCGTGCTCTACACCATCCAGTTCACATCACAGTGACATTGGAAGACGCTTAGGTAATCCTGCATGACTTGTCAGAGTTAACAAAATGCAGTTTCGAAGCATCGAAGAGGCTTCGCAGCGGCAAACACACGGTGGAGGAGGTCTATGCCATGTACCGGCTAACAAACCACATTGCTGAACCCCTGAAGGCTTGTAGAGCGCGTCAGGTTCTTAAAGGTGTGTTGAAATTCAGGAATGCCTCTGTACCACGTAAGCCGTTCGCTTTCCGAGTACCGTTTCTCTCCCACTCGAGCTTTCCTAGTGCCGTTAAGATGTTTCTTAAGTCTTTGGTTCTTCAGCATAAATCCGTTCTAGTGCCGTTGCATTTGCCGCCCTGCACTCCTATTGAAGCGGCGCATCAATCCTTGGACAATTTTCTGCACAATTGGAGGAAGCTGGTACCAAACATGCAAGAACATCGAGACCTACCAGAAATGCCCTGCTACTGCAAAGAATGGCTGCAGAGATACCCCAACCTTAGCCATGTAAATGGTCACATCGCAGCTGGCCTCGAAGAGTTCAATTTGGCACACGATTTGGAAAAGTTCAACTGGATCAATGCCCAATCCACGTTCTTCCCGGCCAAACGTGAGTACCACTCCATGTTTCAAGATGCTTTTGATGCATGGTGGAGGCGAAATCAATTCCCGCGTTGGAGCAAACCAGATCTCACGGAGTTCATTCACGACCAGTGGAAACAACACCTTGTCCAGATCAGCAAAGAAGAACGGTTGGATTTCAAGAGTGTGCAGAAGCTCAAACGGTTTTTCAAGGACAATTTCGTCATCCACAACGAGGACCACTGCAAGGGCCATGTTATGCTCTTCTGCCCCAACCTCTACTACACCACCCAGTGGAGGACATGGACAGATGAAACAGTATTCACGCGATTACCGTATGCACCACATGAATACCAGCAAGCATTAACGAAACAGATTCCACAAGATCTTCGCAAACGGTATCCGTGGGGGTTCAAGTCTGATCCAAGGTGCCCTCGAGGATATATTTTCATGAAGCGCAAGAAGCAGTGGGCGACAGCACGGACGATTGTAAGCTATTGGAACTCCCTCGCAGCACCGCTACTCACAGCTGTATCGATGGCACTATCAAGCATCTTATCTTCTACTTGGCCACAGCAGCTAGCCACGGGAACCACACCTCAGCTTTGGAGTGACATTCACCGCTTCCTGAGAGCACAGAGCGACACAGCCCGTATGGTAGAACTCAATCAAGATTTGATTGGATTCTTCAATTCGATCCCGCAAACGGAGGTCGTGAATGCAGTGCAGCGGCTTTTGGACGAGTGCCGTGCGACCCACAACGACACATGCATCATGGTGAACCCTCACAGTCATTTCAAGCGCATGCAGGTTCTTCTTTGGCAAGCTGCAAAGATAATTATAAGACTGTTCACCTAGAAGACGTTGAACGTATTGTTTCGTTGTCTTTTCAGTTGGGAGTTTTTGAAGCAATGGGTGTGGCATGGCAACAAACACGAGGCACTGCAGTAGGAAATCAAATAAGTCCAATACTTTCCACCATTTGCGTGGCTGCCATGGAAATTCACTGGAAACGCACCTTTCCCAACACGCTGGCAGTCGCAGGTTCACAGATACTTATTCAACGCTACGTAGACAACCGGCTGATTTTGGCCACGGATTTCGCCGTGCAGCTTCCAGGAATACAAGTTCTTCTACATCAATTCTTCTACAAGCGCCCGGTTGAGTTGGAGTATGTTTTGAACCATGAGTACCTCGGCATGCTCGTCGATGTGTCCTCCCGAACAATTACGTTCAAACCGTTGCGGCATGGGTGGCAAATCAGATCCTCTAAAAGTGCTGGGACATGGAACTCACGATTGTCAGGGTTAAAAAGTCGGTTGAGCATCATCTTGAAGTATGCCTACCCCAGACAGAATGCGGAGCAACAAGCAGACGATTTGTGCAAGTTTTTCACTCGAATGTGTTTTCCGGCAGATCGTGTGCGGAGATGCAGGTGAGTATGTCGCTTCAAGAGCCGCTAAACACCATGCACATGCTCGCGATCGTTCATGAAAAATGTGTCGCTCAGTGCTTTTGCTTTTGCTTGCCCCTTGGCTTCGTGCGTGTGTCCACCCCTGTTTCTAAGGGTTTCGCACGGTCGCTGAGTAACCTGGCGACTGGGTTCTGGAGAAAATTTCCGAAGGGGTCTCCACTGACGAGGCCTAACCCCTTCGGGAAGGGCCGAAAACCCAAAAGTGCAAAACATGCTGCACCTGGGTCGCGTGGCGGCAGCTGGCGGGCACATGATTGCTTGACATTTCAGCGTATTGCTTCGCGTCACTTGTTGCTTGCATCAGCCCAACTGTCCAAAAAGACAAACCCTTAATCGCAACTTGGTCATATTTCAGTGCCTACTGGCTCCGTGCTCTCTATGAGCACAGTGATAGGAATCGGTCGATGTTCATTCGGTTGAGCTCTGACCTGATTCTGTTATCAAGTGTGTGAACATGGCCTTGGCGTCTTTGTTTAAGCAATCGGCATCGCGGATTGCTGTGAGCCAAACATCGCAGAGTTCATAAAGTGTTCAAGCACCGCCCACAACGCAAATCGCAGCTCATTCGGGTCAGCCCTTTTGGCTTTGTTATGGTTGCATGCAAATTGCTTCATGAAAACAGGCCCAAAGCGGGCAGGCATGAAAATCTCACAAAGCCATGCATGCTGCGAACATCGACCAGAGGAACACGAACACAACTTGACAGGACTAAGCTCATGTGACTCAGACCAACGCCTCAGATACTCCCTTCCCCAAAGTGGGTTTCCTTTCGGCAACACAAGGAAGAGAGGGATCCCTGATGATCGTGCTGCGGAGGCACACCCAAGTAGCTTCTTTGCCTCCCAGCCTTTCTCCTTCAGATCACCCCTCATTTCTTTCCAACCCCTGTTCTTGAATCCCGCATCGCTTTTGTTCATACCAGCAGCAATTGGAACAGTGACAACACATACCGCGGGCGTGGGAGGAACCCTGATGTTCGAAATAGCAATCCCTTTGGCGTTATCATCAAGACTGAGATTGATACTTCGAGCATGAGGGAGTCTAACAGTACCCTCGCTCCCGATATGGATACATTTGATCGCTGCTCCAAATTGGTGAACATCGTCAATCGCAATACCCCCCTGGCGAGACCTGTCGAGGATGAATTCATTAAAGGGACTGCGACCGGTTTCAAGATGTACCCCCCTGGTTGGACAGACAGAGGGGAGGGCAGGAAGAGCGGGAGCGGCAGAAAGCATTCCGGAGGAGATGAGAGTACCCTTTCGAAAATGACCAATAGACATAAGATTGCGGCCCCAGACCTTTGCATCGGTGCAGGCTTTGGTGAGGATATCACCGGCCTCAAACTGAGAGGGACATGTCACAAACATGACATCCCCAGCGTGATAGCGTTCATTCAACGCCGAAATATCGATACGCTGGGTACGAGACATGTGACGCATATTGGGATTATGACCAGTGATGATGACCCTGATAGCGGCCTCATTATCCTCCATAACCCGCAACCGAAATCGACGGCCCAACATATACTCCCACATGGAGAGAGCAGGTAGGCCTAACTTGTAAACGGCATGGTCAAGGGACACAATCTCGGCCTCAGGGGTAGATTTCGACACCGAAGTTTGCTTCTTGGACAACGCATTAAGCGGCATAAAGCTACGAAGTCCAAGGAGACACATAAAGACACCAGAGGTGCTCTTAGAATCGGTGCGGTCACCCGCAAGATCGGCATCGCAGTAGAGCACGAGCTCCAGCATCAGGCGCATCACCAATCCAACCATACAGGTTAAGATCGAGCGTCGAATTGATATAACACACCAGGCGATGGAGCTTCTTATCGCATAAGCCATCCCATTGGTAATGAGACTGGCAAGCGCCTGCACAGGACGAATAAGATCGTATCGCCCCATGCGAGCGCCATACAAAATGTTCATCAGCACGGCGGCCGCGCAGTCACCCAAGACGCCCTTGCCGGGAGGCACAGGCGCATCGGCCGGGTGGCCCAAGAGGCGGTTCACCGCGGGTCGATCCGGATTGACATCGAACTCCGGTCTCGACTCGTCAAGGAAAGGCGTATCCGCTGTGCGCAGCGTAGCCTTATACTTGGGTCCACAGAGCTCCACATAACGAGCAACACACTGTTCCATAACCCAGACCCCCGGACGGATCCAAAAAGTAGATCCGCATTTGGGGTGTCCAACATGGATACGTGATGTTTCTTTTGGATCCGCTACCATTTTGGGGTGAAACAGAGAAACCTACATCTTGAGCAAAAACATGCTAAGTCCACCAAACGAGCCGCATCATCCACATTCAGCGGGCTTTGAAGGTTTTGTATGCCACTGGGCAACAGAAGAAAGCATTCGATATATTGATTTGGCGGCAACTCAGTCTCCTCTATGATCTTGTGAAATTTTGTGTCACAGAACAGGAATAATTGAGCATGCGTATACATATATCTATATATACATCTATTATATATCCTGATGCTCATGATTCTTGAGCCACTTGAGCCGCTTGAGCCGTTTGAGCCGCTTAGCCTTAGGTTTAGGGTATTAGGGCATTAAGGCTTTAGGGTTTTAGAGCTCCCAGGGCTTTAGAGCTTGAGGTGTTAGGGTTTTAGGGTTTGGGGCGTAGGATTTTCTGTAGCATTCTCTCCTCTCAGGTTTCGGTGTTGGGATTTGAAGTGTTTTGGGCCTTGGTCGGGTGACGTATACGAAGATGTTGGAGTTTTGTGTTTAATGGTGCATTTGAAAACTATTGCGGGGCTGCGGGATGCCAAAGTTTGCAGGAAGCTTCAAGCTAAAGGCTCTTAGAAGGTTGACGGTTTCAGGCGGGAGGTTCGGAGGCTGGCAGCCACAAAGAAGCCCACCCTTCAATCAACCTTAAGGTTTAAGGAGTAAAGTTGAAGGAGTTTGGGGTTCAGAACCCTAAACAGCAAACCTGCCGCCTTCTCAAAAGCTTCGAAGCTCCCAAAGCCACCTTTAAACCCTACCACCTATAAACACCTAAGCCCCAACCCTCCCGCTGGATCTTTCCGGCGATCGGACGATCGAGAAGTGCTGCTTGGCACAACTACTCAGGCTTTCGAGCCTCGAAAAGGGTTTGGTGCTTACTATCTCTATATAGTTACAGAAAAAGCCGACCACATAAGAATTATGGCTTGGGGGCTTAGGGTTCGAAGACTCGCAGCCTGCACTGCACACAACTCTCGTTCGGAAGTCACAGTCTCCAGCGTAGATGTCCTGAGATGCTTTTCTGGCTTGCAGGAAAGCGAAAACCCGAAAGCTAAACACAACCATATGCCTAATCTAAAGTCGGCAAAAGGTTTCGGAAAGAAGCCGGGTGTCGTCATGTTGCTAGCCAGCCGACCACCATATGTTGTAGCATAGCCTCGTTCGTCGCAGTGGGGTTTCGGATCTTAGGGCTTCTTAAACCCTACACCCTAAAAACCCCAACCCTAAACCCTACTACCTTAACTACGTTATAACTTAGGAAAAAAGACAGAACCGGATGAAGCAAAGAAGCTCGTCTGCACAAAGACCATACCATGTGGAGCGGCTCGACTGCAGAAACTCGGAAGCTATAGCAGCAGCTGCCTATTATACATACATATGTATAAGGGCCAGGAATCTCGGAGCTTAGCTCATGTTGCCGAAAGACTGGTTTCGTCCATGTTGCCTGCTCTTAAAGTTGAATCCTAAAGCGGGCATATGGCTTTGGTTCAAGCAAGTGTCCTCGGCCGTTCGCGAAGGAAGCCAGCTCAATGCCTGCGAGTTGCGATTACTTTGAAAGTCTAGCAGCCTGAAAAAACAGGCCTGGTTGTAACGAAACTTGGAAGATCAAGTGTCAGCAAAAGCGGTGGGAGCCGAAACCCTGGAAGGGGGTTCCTAAGATCAAGTTTTGGGACGATGCCTGAGACTCACCGGTCGTCGGCCTCCTTGAAGCATTCCATCATCGCAAGCTTTCTGTACACTTCCAAAGCCCAGCCACGTCGATGCACCGACCTGCAGATCTGGGCGATGAGCCCGTTCAAGGACTCGTCGATGTACGTGGAATACATCTTTGGGTTTCCCTTCCGGACCGCCCGTTGAATCATGTGATACATCATGTGACACTTTGGCAAGAGAGCGACCCCGGCTCTGTCACACAAGCAGATGAAGCGGTTATAGTGATCGAAAAGCAAGCCACAAAATCTGTCATCGACCGCCCTCGGGCGATTGGCCATCACAGAGTCGAAGTCCATTGCTGCTCTTCCCGCTCGCAAAAGGAAGTCGCACGAGTTGGAATGCTCTGTCACGGAAAAAGATTTGCGTGCTTGTCAAGTCTGTCGACCACGAAACCCAACAACCCGTGAGTCTCAGCAGCCTTGGCTTTGATATATTTGCCTGCCAGCATGGTCAAGGACAAGTTCCAGACCTGACTGGGATTGATTCATCACTGCGAAAGAAATTAGGCTTGTTTGGATCTTCATCAAAGGAGTTCGATCGGGCAAGGGTTCATTAATTATGGGGGATTTTGCATGGACCGAGCCTCTGTGCCTTTCTTCCGCCACCTGCCGTCTTCGTCATTTTCCCGGAGACGTTTGTAGTAGCTCCACAGCTCAGCACGAAGAGTCAACAAAGCGAGTTTGTCGGCCTCTTCCTTGTCCAGGTCAGATGCCGATGGCCGGTAGACTGGCGATCGGAGCAGATGCCTCAAGGAATGTGCGATGAATGTGGACATAGGTCCGTAATGCCATGTGTGCAAAACATCCACACACCAGGTGTTCATCGTGACCCCAGGGATCTGCAGGAAAGGCGACAAATGAAGAACTCTCCCATCTTTCCCTCCAGTGTAGAAAACACAAGAGAACGGGCAGCGTTGCTTCGCGAAGTCGTCGACATCTGGCAAGGAAGAGCTCGGCTCAAGCCGCCAGCCCTTTTGGAGACCCAGAAGAGGAAATTTCTGCTTCAAGCATCTGCCTCGACCAGGCCTCCGGCAGCGAAGTAGTGCATTGATCCGCAGTTTCGTGTCCTCATCCGGCACGACGATCTCCTTGCTTGCTTTACATGTGCTTATATTCGCTTTCGCGATATTGAAGATCGTCTGTTGTGTACGAAATATGGTGGGCTTTATCAGACCACAAAAACGAAAGCTTTGTGGACATGGAATATTGGATGTGAGTGTCTCGAAAGGTCGCAGCGACGAGCTCCTCGTAGGCCGTCTGGTCGAAAAGACTGTGCGGGCAGCTGTGAAGAGTCATCGTCCCGAGAACCCGCAAATTCGTTTGGTTCACGGTGCAAAGTGGACACGGGTGCTTGTTGTGCGACCATGTGCGGAATCCGCACAGTTCGATGTAGGCAGGCCAATCTGCTTTATAGTCGATGATGCAAGAACGGAGGTCCTTGTGAGGGGCACACATATCTCGCCGAAAGTGGTCCAGCAAAGGAAACACGGAGCACCACCCCCGGCACCCACATGAGCAAAGCTCTGAGAGTCCTGACCCAAAACAGAATATGAAGTTTAGGCTGCTGGCTTTAAAAATCAGGTTTGGGGAAACCGACGGTTGATGGGTTTGCTATCTGATTATAGTTCTTCCTGTCAAACAATAATTAGGAAAAGGTTTCCTATTTCGACTCAAGATCGGATGGCGGCTTTGGTAATTCGGAAACCCTACAAACCCTAAGCCTTAGACCCTATAAACAAGCCAAAGGCACTGAGCAGCCAGACGAGCTGTTGGCGCTTTGTCCGAAGATTTGTAACGTAAAAACCAAGGAAGTTCTCATTCTTACTGTACTGTACTCCGTCAAAGTAAACAGCAACAGGGATGATACGTTCCTTCGGCAAGCCAGCCTTGAGAGCATCAAGCACGATTGGATGTTGATCATAAAGACTCAAGTACTCTTTGTCGGCATCTAGAAGTTTTGCAACACAGTCCGGGTCTTTTGGCGGACCGTCTCCTAAGAGGCCCAACGTTTGCAGCTCCCGTCGAAGAATGTCTGAGGTAACTCTGGTAGGATGTTGCACGGATATTCGCCCAATAGATTTTTTGCAATTCATGGGCACAGCTACATACTCGACGTAGGGTTCTTCGAACTGCTTCGCCAGGTGGCAACTTAGCTAGATTCAGCAAGAACACCGGACCCCAAAACATCAAACCCTAAACCCGTGAACCCTAAAACCCTAGACCCCCTTGAGTCCTTAAGCCCTCAATGTACGAATCGACGAACAAAAAAACTGCCAATCCAAGATCTGGGAGCCGAAGATGCTCGGTGGCGTGTCGCGATGCGTTCTCTGGTGGCAAGCCAATGTCCTCTGTGCCTTTGCCTCCAGACTCATTGTGAAGATAGGCCAAAATGCAGGTATCGGCAGCGGTAGTTTTTCCTGCACTGTACCTCTCTAGAAGATATTGTTTAAACCGTTTCCCAGCCGCCTCACGATACCCAGCATCTTCTGGCTCCTGCTCGGCACCTACAGTGAAGGCACCACCAATCTGCTCGAGCGTGCGAGCTCTTTTGAAACTCATGCATAGCTAGGTGGCTACTTTCACGAAGGTTGGGAGAAGGAGTTGAGGTCCGGGGCTGTTGCCTAGGGTTTGTTTTGGCTGAGTTTGGACGGCCTGAACCTGTGCCTTTCAATATTTGTGTCGGCTTGGGCCTACAAGTCTTTGCCCATGCAAGCAAGTCATCGGACATCATGCAAACGAGGCTCTGGCAACACTGAAATGCTGCTTGCAGCTGGCTATGTGGAACCACAGGTCGCACAGCATTGAAGATTCTTATGATGCGATTTCGGTGTTGAGGCTCGGGGCTTCCAAACAAAGAGATCTAGCTTCAGGCTCTCGTTTCTCAATCGGTCCTGGGGCCTGAGAGGCCTGGGGTTTACGATATGGGTCCGGGTAGACACTAGGTTAAGCTTCAGGCTTTGGGCTTGGGGTTTGAGTTTGGGGTTGGGACACGGGTTCTTTGTTGCAGCTTCGAACTATGTGGTCTAGGCTTCCACTACACTCTATCTAGAGAGCATGCAACTTCAGAAGTCCGAAAGTTCTTTTCATCGGACACATCGGAACATGCTGCTGCACGGTAACTAGCTTTGCAACGGACAAGCTGGCACACGTCGGCAGTTGTCTAAACTTGTCGTGATGAGACTGCAGAGACTAGGGATGAAAAGGTGGTCACAGCACACAGGCTTAAGGTGATAGGGTTCTGGGACATGAGCAATCTAAGCTAAAACGTTGCTGTGTGCGTGAGAACTTCCGGGTCTTCCTGCACCGACAAGCTTCGAACCTACACTGCACTGGCACCAGCTGCTGCAGATCGAGGGCAATGCAACCGATAGTTCAGGCTGCTGAGGCCAAGCTAGCACTTTAGACTTTAGGGTTTGGGGTTTCAGGGTTTAGGGCTGAAGGTCTCGAGTAAAGTACCGGACGGGCAGGTGTCTGGGGCTTAGACTCTCGGGTTTGCGATACGGCTAGAAGACTTCCTACAGAGGCCTGCCAGCATCAATCGGCGACACTACCGGTTCACACTCAGCCACACTACTCCAAGTGCCCTGAGCACATTCCCCATAGACGAAGCAGTGCAATCAGGAAGGTTCCCGGGATCTGGGACAGGAGTTCTAGCCGCACCAAACCTGGATTTCAAGTTCGTCTGGGATTTAAGGTTTATGGTTTGGGGGTTTAGGGCTTTAGGGTTTTATCGGGTGTATGATCAAATTGAAGGGCTTCTAATCTCTAAGTAACGAACCTTTCTAGGATTCGGATCTATAAGTACTGCAGTCTATTTGTACATACCAAGATCGATACATGCAAGGGCTGGCTACACTTCAAGGACCCTTCCTGCAGCACTGCACAAAACCCACGAACGGAGGACCTCGATCCTCCTATGCGGATAGCGATGCTTGCGAGGCCAGTCGCTTCGGTTTCCGAGTCGAGGCCTTTGAAGGCTTGCAAGGGGTTCCAGCCACAGCGGTAGCTTGAGCATCAGCCATCTGTCGAATCTTGGTAGTGCATTCACTCATAGCCGTAATTTTAGGCCCGAGTTGCAAGCACCATTCGCACAGCTTCGGATGATAATCAATGCCATAAGCCTTGCGTAGGCGGCTGGTTTCTTTAGCGGACAAAGCAGCTACTCAGTGTCTGCATACAACTTCACGATCTCTGTCCCAAGGGACTTATACTGCTGTACAAAGTCCTTTGCCCAGCTCCAGGCAGCCGGGTTGGCACTCATGTCAGCTGCAATCGCCGTCATGCAATTGTCGCTCTGAGCTTCCAAGGCCAAGAACTCTTTAAGTTCCCGCTCTTTCTTGCTAGTGACATTGCCACCAGCACCACCCTTCCTTGGCTTCTTATTCGGCTCCGGCTGACCGGTTTCATCAATGCCCTCAACCTTGCCTTGGCCGACCATAGCCTCCAGATTAGGCAAACCAACCTTCTCCGTGTTGCCCGCTTTGGCCTTTGCTCTAGGTGCCGCTGCCGGTGCCGGCGTCGATCCTCCTGGCTTCGGGGCGGAGGTGTTCTTGCTGGCGGATCCATCTCCACCAGGTTGCGGCTTGGCGGCAGGCGTGGAAGCGTAGAGTTCAGCATACCCGCGGACCCCCAGCTCGGTCGCCTCGATCATTTCTCTTGTGACATCCTTGGCATACAGGCCCTTCTCGACCGCATAGCATCTCGCAGCTTTGCAGAATTGGGCTTTGTAGGCCCAAGATCCAACGATCGGCTCGTCCTGCACCTCCACAGTGACTTCATTTTTCCAGGTGGTCTCCGACATGGAAGACACCAGCGACTCCACCCAGAGGTAGGTGGGGGCTTTCAGCCAGTCGTTGAACATGTAGCAATACTCCTGCAGCGGAGTGTGTTGTGTTGGATTTTGGGGCTGAAGGGGGTCCAGGCTTTTTAAGGTTTAGGTTCTGGGAGCACAGCAGGTTTAGGGCTGAAGGGTTTTTGAAATTAAAGCTGTACAAGGGCACACAAGTTTTGGGAAAAGGCAGATTGAGGGCTGAAGGGGTCTAGGTTTCAGGGTTTAGGTCCCTTTGGGTTTTTGGCCAGGATTATTGCAAAGGCATTAAAAGTTGCCTAAGTGGCTTGCAAGAAAACCCAACCCTTTGTGGAAGCCCAGCCTTCAGATCGTTTCGCAGACACATACTGATGTAGTTCTTCGCCTGCATCACAGCTTCCGGCTGGTGGCTGCCTCCAGCTGGAGTTGGGTTTTGAAAACCCCAACGTTTTCCTTCCTCTTTCGGAAAACATTAGATGTCGTCCTTTTCGAGGACGTGAAGGCAAAATCTTTCGAGCATGTCCAAGCAGCACGAAAAGCTGTTTTTTCCGAATCAAGTAGTACCTGGTAAAGTTCTTTCACGTCCGGCCGATGCTTCAGTGCTCTCTGCATCGCTTGGCTCGCCGGCCCCCGGGCCCCCAGGTTTGTCTTCTGCGTGGCCCAGTGGACTGGGCCCAACTCAGAAGTCTGGATCATTTCATCCGTAACCTCCTGGATCGCGAGGCCGTGGTGCTCGGCGAAGTTGGCCCTGGCATCCTGCAGAGCTGCAGCTGTCAACTTGACACCATCATCCTTCGGCACGGGTGGCTCGGCAGCATGGGCTTCTGGGGCATCTTTAGCATTCGGCTCCGAGGTTGTGGAGGGGGTCTCAGGAGTCGAAGCGGGAAGGGGAGAAGTGACCTGCGTGGCCTGAAAGGCTTCCGGGGTCGCAGGAACAGGTTCTCCCCCGGCCAATCCCTCGGATGTGCATTGCTGAGTATCCGCAGAATCTACTGCAAACATGTTGTCTGCAAGATCAAAATCTTTCCGAGCTACTTCTATAATCGGCAAAATGCCGAGCAGCTCAGCGGCTGCATAGGTTCGGCTTAATAGCTCTACCGGAAAGGGGATCAGACTTTTCATTGCGGCCCATTCAATACTTGCGATCAAGAACAGTTGCTACCCTAGCTTCCATAATTTATCGGAGATAAACGACGATGGCCTTGTTCTTCCAGCAAGTACAAAGACTGCCTAGATATGCGACAACCGCAAACCTTGCACCGACAGCCTGTGCTGCTGCTGGGAAAGCATCACTCGAGTCCCTGGACGGGGCCACGGTTGCACGGGGATTCGCCATTAAAAATTTATGGTGTCCGAGGGTTTGCTACTAAGGGCTTAAGCTATAGAGGTGGAGTCTTTGGGGTTTCACTATATGAAGGAAAACGATGCTGTCTCAGGAGTTGAGATCGCCTGCGTATGGATTCGGCCGGGGCTGTTGACATGTTTCTCATCCCTGACCGATAAGTAATTCAGAGCTTCTAGAGGCTAGCGAGTTTTGAGTTTAGGGTCCAGCAGGTGCAACCCCACTAGACGATATACCCTCGGCTGGCCCACGAGTCTGATACCCCGACACATCTCCACCTATTAACAGGTATGACTATATACGATCCGAACTACGATTGCTAGTGTTAAAGTTACCAAGCTGCTAATACCTTAGGGCGTGGGTCGATCTCACTCCAGCTTCGCATCAGATCATCCGAAGCTCTGCCAAGCCTAGAGCAGCCCCTGTTGCAATCGATCGAAGAAACCCCAGAGTGCTCACGGGCTTATGGTTTGGGGTCGGGTTTTGGAGTCTTAATAAGCCAATATAAGAATTAGCTAGTGCTGCTTCGCAAGTGGAAAACCTTTTGTCGGAAATGAATGCACCCGGAGCACATCTGAGGCTTCTACGATCAGTGGCTACGGTTCTTGCAGAGGACCTCGGGGTGATGTTATGGGTTATAAGGACGGGCCAGTCAGAACAGGGCTAGGCTTCAAAGCACACAACATCCGATATAAAGACTTCTCTGCACACTCCTAGACTAGATCATCTCCATTCGTCCCCAGCATCACGTCAGCAGCCGAGCCGAGGCGATCCAAGCCTGAGCTTGAGGGGGGTTCATGGAAGGAGGTATGCTAAATCTAAGGACTTCGGGTTTAGGGCTTAGGGTTGTGATTCTAGTAAAGCACTTATCTGCAACGTTTTGTAGTCAAAGAACTGTAGCAGCGACTGCGACTGTGCGTATGAATTCCATAGATGTAAAATCTGCATACATATACATTACGATCCTGCTTGCACTCCTACAGAAGACGTCTTTGTATGTAGTCACAACGACGTTGCGTGTAGGGTTTCGGGTTTGGGTTTAGGGTTTCAGGGTTCAGGGTTGGGGTTTAGAGGGCGGGCTGGGAGCCTTCCATCGTCGGGTCGTTTTCTGTCTGCTCCTCCTCCTCGCCTTCGCCATCGTTGTCGTCATCATCGTCCTCACCATCAGCATCGTCGCCCCTCTCGCCGTCGTGGGGCCTTAACTACATTCAATATGACAAAGCACACTCTCGACGAAGATCGTTCTTGCCCAAGACCAAAACTTAAAAAGCTGCTAAATCAAACCGATGCTCGCCTCAGGAAACCCCGGCAGCTTTAGCTTGTTGATGAACTGCCAGCTCAGATGCTTGCTCCAATCAACTCCGTTGTTGGACCCGTAGTCAAGCAACGATTGCTTGCAAACCTTGAAAT